AGGAATGGCCTTCCTAAAATAAGCGGAATCTTTGACTCACTGTCAACCACAGATTGAGTATCTAAAACCAAAAAAATCAATAGGATAATAGAATTTATCAATCTGAAGCAAAATGTCTTCTACTATCCCCCTCGGTTTTTGAATAACGGTCAGCCAGTTGTAACACTACAGACGTGGGTTTTATCTCTCCAAGACCTAATTGCAAGTAAACCGAATAAGTCATTAAATTTACACTTGCTCCTAATTCCAAGAGAGCTTGACCGAACTCTTATGTCCCAATATGACAGGCAATTGTGGGGCACCCTGGATCTTTGTAATTTGGCAATGTTCTCTACTCAATCACCGCACTTTCCTGGTCTGTTAGAAATGCAGTTTTCCTGACATGGTGTCTCCTTTTCATGGTACATAGATCCTTGATCACCTTGGCATAAGTTGGTACTTGCTTAATCACATGCAACAAAGGTAGATTAATCTTAACTTCTTTCAAATGTTCCAAAATCCCACCGTAGTTGTTTGAAAATTTTCCTCCAGATCTGAGAGCTTTGGGAAAGGGCACTTGGATCGTAGCCTCCTTTTCTAGCTCTTTTGAGGGGGCATCTTCAGTTCTGCTCGAAGTAGTGACATTTATGCAAGGTGGGCTTGGCAAAGGCCCATCTAAAACCTACCCACTGCGAGTAATGATGGCGTGGACCCCCTTAATGTTCTCCAAATCAAAGGTGGATCCCTGTACCATATGTGACCCCTTCGGATTGGTTTGAGGCTGAGGTGGAATTTTGCCTCTCTTGTATAGTAAGAGCATTGGTAAGCTTAGTTATCTGACTCTTGATATCCTTGTTCTCTTCAACCACCTGTGCAAGAACAAATTCAAACTTTTGGTTAGTCTTATTTTGTGCCTCCATAAATGCTTGAAGTGTTTTCTCTAAAGGATTCCTATTCGGTCGAGCATTGTATTGAGGTGCAAGATGAAATCTGGATGGTTGCGCCTCTACACTCCGATTATTGTTGGACGATGTGAGTTGGTTCTGATCAACGTTCCAACTAAAATTGGGATGGTTCCTCCAGTTAGGGTTGTAGGTGTCTAAATAGAAAGGTTTCTTATACATTCTTAAGGCATTACATTGTTCTTCATAAACCTCTCTCATCTCACCATAGGTTGGGAAATCTTGAGCTAAGTGATCCAATCCCTCACAAACAAAACATGAAGTTTGTTTCTACCCTGGCAACCGTGTGGGTGATTTTATTACTTCTCATCTTTAAGGCCTTAAGTTCCCTAGTTACAGCTTCTAATTGGGCTTTGAGGTTGTCTTCCTCCTTAAGATGGTAAATCCCAGTTGGGCGTGACCTATTAGTACTATCAATAGCACTAGGTCCAGTCCATGTGTGGGATTTCTCAACTAACTCATTCAGGTAATCTATGGCTTCTTCAGGATCCTTTTGCAAAAACTCCCCATTACACATCATCTCTATGAATTGGCACTCCCTGCTGGTTAAATCCTTATAAAAATAACTAACTAGCCTCCAACTTTCATACTCATGGTGCGGACATAGGTTTTGTAGCTCCTTTGAATCTCTCTCAGGCTTGGGATAGGGTTTCACTATCCTTTTGAGAAAATGTTGAGATCTGTCTCTTAAGGTTGTTGGTCTTATGGTGCGGGAAGTACTTGTTAAAGAAAGTTTGGGTCATCTCCACCCATGTACCTATGGATCTCGGTCTCAAGGAGTATAGCCAACTCTTAGCTCTCTCTTTCAGGGAAAAAGGGAAAATTTTCAGCCTAACAATGTCTACAATATCAGCTCGGTTATGAAAGGTGGCCACTACCTCTTCAAATTCCCTAATGTGCACATATGGATTCTCACGGTCTAAACCATGGAAATTAGGCAAGAGTTGGATCATTCCAGGTTTGAATTTAAATTGTGGTGTATTCGGAGGGAACATGATGCATGATGGTGTGGCTATCCGGGTGGGGTGCAGGTAGTCTTTCAAAGACCTAACAGGGTTGTCCTCGTGTTGACTCATGGTTTCAGAATCAGAGGATGAGTCAACAACACCAAATTTTGTGTCTCGCCCAAAATTATTACCCTTGGCTAAGTGATCGTTGAAGCGTAGCTTTATGTGTCGAATCCATAGAGAAGCTGATTAAACCAACAAAATGAGTTATCGCTAAGAGTGAATAACCTAGAAAAAAATGATTTGCTAAAAATAAAAAGAAAAAACAAAAATATTTGAATAAAAGTAGCGATGATTAAAGGATGAAAAATAGTCTGTGATGAACAAGGCTTCAAGATTCACTTGATCGATTTGCTTAACTGGTCTCGACTTTGATTCCTATTTATTACTCAATTGCAAGTTTCACATCCCAAACAAACAATCGGGAAATATAACTTTGAAACCAACGACAAGAATAAAAGTATTTGTTCTAAGAGAATTAATTTTCAATGAACAGAATGATCTATTCTTACAAGCTACCCAAGAATGACAATATATCAGATTGACAGTATTGCAGTCAAAGATCAACTCATAAAATAAATCTACCCAATCAATTATTTTCCAATAAATTGCACATAAAAAGAGAATGACTAATACTCATAAAATAAATCTACCCAATCAATTATTTTCCATCAAATTGCACATAAAAAGAGAATGACTAATATTATATGAAAATTGAAGAATATAACTTTAGGGTTTATCAAAATAATAAAAAATATCTTTCAAGAATAAAATTAAACATTGAAATCTCTCAAGGAATCAAAGTAAAATAACAAGTAAAACTCATCGATCAAGATCCTCCCTAGCCTTGTTGAAGCTTCAGTCGCGCTTGGACATCATTCTCCCCTCTTCTCCTTTGTGAAAGACTGAGAAAATAATGCCAAAATAACCTCTGCAAGTCGTCCCCCTTTTTGGTCAAATTTTTCCTTTTTATTGTGCTGCCAAGCTCCTCAATCTACTCAGCCCGGATCAGCGTCTTATCCCCCAATTTTCGCCTGGACAGAGATTTATTTAGAGGAAGTTATCAACAGATGAGTTGTAGCCCTATCTCTTAGCTGTCCATAGCCTGAAGAATCATTAAATTTCAACATTTGTAGAGAAAGATATGCCCAAAATACCGGACCCTATTTAGAGTAAAGCGGAAAACGAATCAGCACTCATACCTGGGTCATGGAACTTGGGTTTGGGTTTCTTCGACCTATGTTTGGGCTTTCCTCCATTCAATTATTAGTTCTTTAAGCATAAAAATTGCATAAATAATAAAATTGACATTTATAAAATTATTATGAAAAAAATATTACTTTTAAGCTTTTTATTTTACAAATGTCAATTGTTGAGCACACTTTAGATATACATTTTCATGCTTTCGTCAGGGGCTGAACTAGAGAGGTTTGGAAGTGATCAGAGGTTGAATAATGACATGTCAACTCCCCTCAAGAGCAAACAAATCACATTGGAAGGTTGCAACTCTACCCTTGAATTGGATGGGACTACAAAGAGTGCTCACTTGGTGGAGTCGTGTCTTTTCCCCTCGGCCTCAGGTACTCTTGTCAATTCAATTTGCAGAACTAATAATTTTCCTATGCCTGAAATAGGTGTTCCAGTGATTACACACTCTGTTGAGCTCAGAGCCCCTACTACTAAAGATGGCAAAGGTGTTGGTAACAAGGAGCCTGTGGAAGTGGGGTTGGTAAGAGTAGATGAAGAGGAAAAGGAAAAAAGGGAGAAGGTTTGGGAGCTAATGAGTAGCCTGTTTGGGGCCTTAAAAGATAAAAAAGTGACAAGTTTGCAAGAAAATTTGGGTGGCAGGGAGCTAATTTAGGGGTGGATAATGGTACTACTTTGAGAGAAAAAAATAATAAAGTTGGGAGGGGGGCAGCAAAGAATTAGAAGACTCTGTAGCCGAACTTTTTGGGAAACTTGGATGTAGAATTAAAGATCCCAATGACCTGAAAGCTTATCTATGGCACTTTGAAGGAGAGGGAAAGAAAGAAAGAGGAAAGCTAAGTGAGGTGGAGGGATTGAAAAGGGATATCGAGGGGAATAAAGAGTTTAGTGGAGGAAGGGAAGGGAAAAGAGGATCGAGGAAGAAGGTTAAAAAAGAAAGGGGTCTCTAAAGTAGTGTGAGATGAGAATTTTAAGTTGGAATGTAAAAGGTTTAGGGAGTGCAAGGAAGAGATCAATAATTAAGGATGTTTTAAGAAAAGAAAAAGCAGATGTAGTCATTTTACAAGAAACTGGTCTATTAGGAGAAACACCAGTAGATACTCTTATAGATCATAATATGAAGATTTCTGATAGTGATGGGGAGCCTCTAGTCGATCTCTCTTTGTTTTCAGTCCTTTTCTTCCCTCCTCTTCTCTCTTCTTTCACTTGAACTAGGACAAATCTCTTATTTATTATTAATCTCAACTATTTTCAGACTGGATCACAATTCTATTAAGACCTCTTTTCTTCAAGCATAGTTTTTGTTTATTTTTAGTTTCTATCATGGACGCCTAGCTTCTGTCTCACCTAATTAAAATCTTTTGGTAATATTTTATGTTTGTGCTGGTAAGATGAGGAACAAAAATGTTTTTTGAAAATTTCCTACACTTTGGGAAATGTTTCATATATTGTCAAATAGGACTTCTTTGACAATTATTTTCTTAGTTTAGTTTTATTTTGATTTTGGTATCAGTCCACACTTGAATTTGTTGCTAATCCCAATTTCTCATTAACACAAAGTGAAATTACACTATATGATAATTGAGCTTATTCTTTTTCTTACATGTTATATGAAGAACATTCCTGGCCGCAAAATGCCAATAAGGTACTGAATGTTCCTCTAGGAGAATGTGTCACAACAAAGATTAAGCAGTTTTCGTTGATGAATAAATTTAAGAAGAGAGCTCTAAGAGTAAGTAAAAGCTTCTGTGAATTCGTGGAAGTTGTTTTCTATTTGTCTATGTTCTATTGATTACAATTTTTAGTAATGCAAGGCTTGTAATCTTTTTGAGTTTACATTATACAGGTTGTAGCAGATATCTTGCCAATGGATCAAACAATTGGTATTAAAAAGATCTTTCATATGATGGACACTAACAACAATGGAAATTTGACCTTTGAAGAAGTCAAGGATGGACTCCATATGATTGGGCAACCTGTTCCTGATCCAGATGTTCAGATGTTAATAGATGTCGTGAGTGTATTCCAATTTCAAACTTCTCGTCAAAATTGTCTTTTTCTATAATTATAGTGTCGTAGGGTTATTATTGACTTTTCTTGTATTTTTAATTAATGTTTGGGATGCCGTAATAGAAGTACGAGAGTTGGCACTGCAAGCATGCTTTTTGCCTCAATCTTTTCTCTCCTCTTTTCTCCCCTGTCTTTTCTCTCACCCTCTGTTCTTCTCGTCTTTTCTTCTTACTTTTCAGGTTAACATGGTATCAGAACAAGTCTATTGGACCTGAAAACAAGATCGATCTGAATTCTTTATTTCCTTCTTCCCTTTTTTGAGTAAAGATCAGAGAAACTCTGTCGGACGGGTCTGAGAGAATTTTCTGGGTTCTTCTCCTCTTATCTCTTGGTCGTGTACCAAGAAAAATACTTGTAACTGGTTCAGCTGAATGGTGTGAAGAATTTAAAGGGATTCCAACCCCTCCTAGTGGGGTCGTGTGATCCTTTTATATGATTTTTGTAGGTCTGGGATGATCTCTCTGTGTTGTAGCACTAAGGTCTAGTATTTGGATCAAATCGATGTTGTACCTGTATTTTTAACAGCAGAATTTTGTGTGGATTTTGTTAGACAGTGTATGCCCTTACCTCCAATCAAAATGTTGTACATTATGACATCTAATGTAAATAAATAAAGTGCATATTTGATTCATGTTATTATGGTGTGTTTCTGTGTAATGCTCTTAAATTGGACACATATGTGACTCGTGTTAGTTTAGAATCTTCATAGCCGTTGGATACATCTGGAGAGATTTATCCTGCCAAGGTTGACACTGATGTGTCGTCAAGTTGGTTGGGGTGGCTTGTTTCAGCTGCCAGGGTGAGACCTGAGGTACATGTAGTGTGGGTTTTCTTGAAATCCTGAACCGGACCAAAATTGCAGTATTGCCCTGGACTTTGGAAATAGATGTGCAAAACTGGAATGTTACACCTGACCCCTAAAGGGATGAGAGATCCATCATATGGATGGCCGAACCCTGTAGGAAGGTTGGGCAAATTTTCAAAAATTTCTCTCTCCCGCGTGGGAATCACATTCCCTATTTTAGAAAACTGCATTTTCAAGGATCAATCTTGAACCTAAACCAGACCTGATCTGAAACCAAAAAGGAGTGGAGGGTTATACTTAATACGAAGTAACAATAACCTCCAATGAAGGTGTTCATGCCCAAGGAAAGATCCAAAGACTGTTTCCATCGAACATGATACGACACGGGATGAAGCAGAATCAACAGGATGGTCTCTTAAGCAAAAACCTTATTCTTCAACAAGAATCTGATGGAGGGCTAGTGAGCACAACTTCTGATTACCTTTTCTACTAAAAGGTAATATCAAGAACACTTCTTGATCGCTCCCACAAGTGGAGATCGAACTGGTATGGCGGCAAGAGTAGGAAAGAGCAGAAGGCAGGAGCAGTCGAACTACAGGTTATTCTCTCTTTTTAATCTCTGAACTGAAAATTGTATATTGGAGGTTCACCCTGTTCCTCTATTTATAGCCTTTAAAGAGAGCATCTCCAAACCTCATTAGGAGTTTCCTAATCCAAATCTTGTATTTGGATTTGGACTTTCTTTAAGAGATAAGGATAATCTCTTATCTTATCTGCAGATAAAGATCAACCCTCCTAATCTAATTAGGAGTTTCTTGATCCAAATCTTTATTTGGATCTGGACTCTCTGAGTGGATAGACACAATCTCTTATCCCATCGGCTGATCCAAATCCCAGAACCGCCCCCTTTTAATTAATCTCATTAAGACAGTTCGAATTGGGCTTTAGGCCCATTAAGTCCATCTGCTCACTTACCCTCCAAACTGCTGCCCAGTTGGATATCCTTGTATGGCGTGGGACACAAACAATGATTTACACATCAGCCACATGGGTTCAGCCCAACCTCTGTTACAAAGCCTAGCTGAATTCACTGTAGGTGACAATGAACCCCTTAGTCCATCACCATGGGCTCTTAATGGGCCCAAGGACTGTGGACAGATGCAAGATTAGCCCATCAGGTGTATTACCCTCAATGGTCTTACACTTAACCTCTCAGTCCATAATGATCAAACACTGCCCGACAAGAGAGGACCTCTCCCTCGGCTGCAAGGTACAGTGCTGCACTCTTTACTCATATGAATCCCGGGAATTAAAACTTTTTGTAAACATTTTGAAACCATAATATATATGTATATTTTATACAAATATATTTGCAAAACAAATTTCAACGGTTGAAATCGACTGCCGACAGTTTTGGTTTCCATCAGAGAGTGCATCCCCGATCAATCACTTTGTCCGACAAAGGGGCTAATACTGTCATTATGATCACCCACTCGGATGAATAATCGAACTGTCCCAACATACCCAGTTTTTTACCCCTCTAAGGATCTCACTGATTAGCATGTCAAAGACAGCCCAATCCGACACCTAGTGTAGTATCATAATCGAGTCTAGGGGTCAGGTGTAACATTCCAGTTTTGCCCATCAATCTCTAAGGTCTAGGGCAATACTGGAATTCTGGTCCGGTTTAGAATTTCAAGAAAAACCCACACTACATGTACCTCAGGTTTCACCCTAACAGCTGAGACAAGCCACCTCAACCAACTTGGCGGCACATCAGTGTCAGCCTTGGCAGGATAAATCTCCCCAGATCTATCCAATGGCTGTGAAGATTCTAAACTAACACGAGTCTCATATGTGTCGAGTTTAAGGGTATTACACAGAAACACACCATAATAACATGAATCTAATATGTACTTTATTCATTAAATGTCATAATGTACATCATTCTGATTGGAGCTAAGGGTATACACTATCTGACAGCTCCCACTTGCACTTAGGTCCAATCGGGTACAAGCCGGAGTCCCAGACTTTCCACGTGTTTCTTAAACACTTTCTGTGTCAGTGGCTTACTCAATGGGTCTGTCACATTCTTCGCTGATGCTACCTTTTAACATCAATCTCCCATAGATCCAGTGTTGTCACACAATAATGGAATGGGTGATGTGCTGAATTCCAAATTCAAGAATGAACACCTTCATTCATTAGGCAGCCTCACTTACGGAAATGTGTTCGGCTTGGGTTGTGGACTGTTATTCTTACTACTTAGGACCCCTGTTTGCTGCTCTTCCAGCTAACAGCACACGATCCTATCGTGTGGATATAACCAGATGCAGACTTTCTATCATCTGGATCTGACTAGAAATCGGCATCAGTATATCCTTGGATCTATAGTGAACTACCATCGAATACCAGACAAAACTTTTTTGTCCTTTGAAGGTACTTTAGTATGTTTTTCGCAGCAGTCCAATGCTCCTGCCCTGGGTTTGACTGAAATCTGCTTACCACACTCACTGCCTGAGAGATGTCAGGACGAGTGCACAGCATGGCATACATGATGCTCCCTACGACTGAGGCATAGGGAACGTCCTTCATGCCCTCAATCTCTTCGGGAGTCTTGGGAGACATACCCTTGGAGAGAGTGACTCCATGCCTGAAAGAAACATTTCCTTTCTTGGAGTTCTCCATGTTGTATCTCTATTTTGTGAATATAAGCAGATTGGGATAATTCTATTATCCTCTTCAATCTATCTCTATAAAGTCGAAGACCCAGTATGTAGGAGGCTTCTCCAAGATTTTTCATGGAGAATTGCTGTGAAAGCCATACTTTCACCATAGTCAACATTCCTACATCATTCCCAATAAGTAGAATGTCATCTACATACAAATAGGAACGTAACCTTGTCCCCACTGGTTTTCCTCTAAACACAGGGTTCATCCGGATTTTGTTCAAGGTTCACAGGTTGGAAGATTCAGTTTGACTCTACCATCAAACTGTGAACCTTGCCTTGTGGTTGTTGCATATAGATATCTTCACTAAGATTTCCATTCAGGAACGCAGTTTTGACATCCATTTGTCAAATCTCGTAATCATGGTACGCTGCTACAACTAGCAGGATCCTAATGGATTTAAGCATGGCCATCGACGAAAAGGTTTCCTTATATTCGATTCCTTCTTTCTGAGTATACCCTTTCGCCACAAGATGAGCCTTGTAAGTCTCAAGGTTTCCTTATATCCTAATGGCTCTTCTTCCTCTTATAGATCCATTTGCAACCAATTGCTTTTACTCCAGGGGGCAAATCTATCAGAGTCCTGACTCCATTGGTCTCCATTGAGTCCATCTCAGCTCTCATGGCATCTACCCACTTTAAAGAATCTATGTCCAACATAGCTTCCGTATAAGTCACGGGATCCTCTTCACTGGTCGTGGCTTCCACTAAGTAACTTTCTTCGTCATAGCCGAAACGGATTGGAGACCTGGAAACTCGGGTAGATCTTCTTGGTTGGTCATTAGCTAGAGCTTGTGAGACATCTCCCACTACCCATGAGCTCTCCTAATCAAGAACAACTTCTTGATGATGATTGTTCATGATGTAATCATCTTCCAAGAAATGGGCATTTCGACTACAGAATACCTTTTGTTCTCTTGGGTCATACAATATAACCCACAGAGCCTTTGGGGTAGCCTATAAATAGGCAACGGCTGGTCTTGGATTCCAATTTTTCCGTACTTGTTCTTTTAACATGCATTGGACAACCCTAAATCTTCAAGTGTCTTATACTTGGTTTCTTATCGGTCCAAAGCTCATAGGGAGTTTTCGGAACTGATTTGGTTGGAACCCAGTTCAGCAGGTATATCACAGTCTCTAATGTATAACCCCAAAAGGATGTGGGTAACTCCGAGTGTACGAGAAGTGATCAGGCCATATCCAAGAAAGTCCGATTCCTCCTCTCTGACACACCGTTTGGCTGTGGTGTAGCAGGAGGAGCTACTTGTGATACTATCCCATTGTCCTTTAAGTAGTCTCTGAATTCGTCAGAGAGATACTCGCCACCTTGATCCGATCAAAGGGTCTTAATTTCTCTCCCTAACAGCTTCTCGACCTCTTGTCTGAACTCTCTGAACTTTTCAAATGATTCAGACTTGTGTCTCATTAGGTACGCTTAACCATACCGTGAGTAATCATCGGTAAATGTTATGAAATAAGCGTGTTGTTACATGTTCTAACACTCATGGCACCACATACATCAGTATGTATAAGGTCAAGCGTGTTTGTACATCTTTCAGGCTTACCGTTAAATGGTCGTTTTGTCATCTTACCCTGAATGCAAGGTTCACGGGTTGGAAGATCTTCAACAGTTAGAAAATCTAAAGGACCATCCTTTACCAACCTTGTGATACGATCTATGTTGATGTGGCCAAGTTGGTAATGCCACAGGCACGTGGGATTAACTGTATCACGGGTTCTTTTCTTGGGGATATCATCCGACGTAGTTTCGGTTATGTTAGTTTCCAGATAAGGATGGAGAACATAGAGACCATTCTCTAGTTCCCGTATGCGAGGAATTTGTTCTTTCTTTTAATAGTAATCATATTACTAAAGAGAACAGAATATCCATCCACACAGTTTTGAAACAGAAATCAAATTTCTTCTCAAAGTGGGTACATAAAGACAATCTTTCAGTACAATAATTCCTTCTCTGAAAGCTAACTCTACAGTTCCTATAGTTGTAGCTGCAACACTTGCAGAAGTCCCCAAGTAAAGA